TGTGTGTGTGCACATACGTATGTCTGCTCAGAGGGCAGTCCTAGATATATTGGACTGCTTGGGTTCCTTTCTCATAAGTGATTCATAAGTAGTTACATCGGTTTCTCTTCTGGTTGTAATATGTTTGTGTGTGAAGGGAAAAATCCTGATCAAGGTGTTTCATTAATTTTGAGGATCATGCTAGACAAGTGATTATATTAGGCATTACTTTATAGAAACTGATGTAAAAGAGGTTTTGGGGTTTTTTAGCGATATCTCAGGTTATGATATTACATGTAAGAGTCAGAATCCCTTGACAACTACATGGCCATCATCACTTAACTGTTTCGATTCAGTTCTGTTACAGAGCATTAGCTGGAAAGATACATCTGTAGAACAACTGTAGGTTTAATACTGTACTATGTTGAAAACTAGGATTGTCATTCTATTCACTATGAATTGCTAGTAGCTCCTTTTTGATTGAGTACATTACCCTGTGTATGTTTAAAAGGTGAACACTGAAATATTTAACCTACTGATGTTTCTGTTCCAGAGAAAATCTGTGATGGTAATACAGACATTTCATTAGATTTTATGCTCTCTTCATGTACTGACTGATTCTAGATTCAGGTTTCAGTGGCTCTCTTTGGTAACAAAAGCTGCAGTTTGTTGACCTAATATATCTTGTTTCAAAAGTAATGTGAAATGTTGCCTTCAACCAGTCTATGCTGTGATAAAGGCCCTGGATCGCTCTTGCAGCCTCTGTCAAGGCTTCAACTTTCCAAATTATGTATTTCAGACATTGAGAAAGAAAGGACTTAATGGCTGTGACAGCCCAGACCCTGATGCAGACGATTCAGTAGGTCACAGCCCTGAGTCTGAGGACAAGTACAGGAAAATTAATGAAGATATTGATCTAATGATCAGCAGGCAAAGATTATGTGTAAGTACTCTGAATTCCCTTTCATTTTTTTTTACTTTCTGATATTTCTCTGAACCTGGCAGGCATTGAACAAGAAAGAAAACAAAGGCTGTGAAAGCCCTGATCCAGACTCCTCTTATGCCCTCACCCCACACACTGAAGAAAAATACAAAAAAATTAATGAAGAGTTTGATAATATGATCAAGAGCCATAAAATTCCTGTAAGTACCAAAGGTTAGATGGCTGTCTGCTGATAACTACTGCAGTAACACACCCTAACCCTTTCAGTTCTGGTTTCTTCCAAAAAGGCATATTCAGTGAGGGACATATTTTGACAGCACCCATGAAAACCAAATTGCAGAGAGGAAATATGATACCATTATCTTTTTTTTTTCTTTTTTTCACTCTTGAAGTGTGGAAAGTTCCTTCATGAGATGTGTTTGACAAAACCTAAAGAAGGAAGTTTTTAAAGTGGACGATATGTATAGTAAATTTACAGAATTCTGGTTTACCACACTAAGCTACCCCAAAGTGTATTTAGAGAACATCGGTAAAACATGCTGTGGAGAGGCTGACATTCACTCTGCTCTAAATTCAGTTACCACACTGAAGGGTTACGTAGCTACTTGCTAGTTGCAGGAAAAGAGTCTGCATGAGAATCTAATGGTAGCATTCAGTCATTTATGTGTGTTGAGGATAACTTTACAGCTTTATCAGACGATTTGCTTTGATTCCATCAGCATTTCTTTTAATGCTTTAATGAGTGCTAAATTTTTGTTTTAACCACAACCAAATTTCTAACAGCCATATGCCTTGCCAGATACTTAAGAGAAATAACTCTGCATGTAGCTATTTTCTTTGCCTAGACATAAAAGGGGAAAATGTATGTGAATACTACAAGTATTGCCATAGTATGGTTAGTATTATTACATGTATTCAGATGGGCATTTGTTTTTATCTAGTCTAGATCAAAAGAATAGTCCTTTGGCACTTAAAAAAGTAACAACTGTATTGCTCATAAATACTGATGCATTAAAAAGTTTGTATTCCCCTAAATGTGAATCCTTTAAAAACTGGCAGACGGTTTGTTATATTCTTAGGGAAATTTTAATATTTTAAAGTTCCTTAACATCTCATCTTGATAAAGTGACAGTAGTTTTAAGAATAAAATTAGGGTGAATTCATTTGTAGTAAGTTAAGTTTCCTATGAAACTTGAGTTCATATCTCTTTCATTTTAGGGTAAAACCTAGCAATGGAAACCAAGTATGGAGACAAAGTCCAACCTTGATTATCATTTACCATGGCTGTCATTTATCTAGTTATATGAATTGCTCTTTAAGTTTATAGATTAAGTATTTAATTTGTTACAAATTAGGTTTTTTAAAAGAACTTCTATCAATTGAATATAAAAAAGCAAACAGAAAAAAAAATAAACAGTTGTCATCCCTTCAAGGTAGTCCAGACCAGGAAACCAAAACCATGAGTACGAACACTACCTTTATTGTAAGTTCAAAATAACAGAATCTTGCATGTCTGAAAGCGCTTCTCCTTCCCCTGCCTTTACGTTCTGAAATTCTGAAATGCTTTCTCCACCCCCATTCCACCTTTGGACTCAGATTTCTCATATCAGACCGTTGTCTAGGCTGTGCCTCTTCCTCCTGTCTCTCAAGGTTATTCGTACAGCCCATTGCATTAGTACAGAAAAGTTATAAAGAAAGGGAAAAATGAAACCAAAAACAGTAAAAACAAACAAAACATACAGGACACATATTCATGCGGACATGTACATATATAAAAGTTCTACGTAAGTATTTCAATGAATGTTAGCTGTATTTCATATTTTATTATAATTATCCAAAACTAATCTATATCAATAACTAATTCATTCCTATCTTGGCATTAAATCAACCTAGCAGACCATAGAGTAGCTGGGGTCATATCTTTCCGAGGCTGTAGAATACTGTAGATCTTTTCTAACTTAATTTATCCAGATGTCAGTTTCCATGCAATAGGAATATAGTTCAAAAATATGAACATGTGACAATATTAAATATTGTCTCCATATTAATACATGTAACAATTTCTTCCCAAAATGGAGCAATTATAAGATACTGTATGAACATATGTTTACATGAAGCATTAATCTGACTACATCTCCAACCCCATGACAATTTACCCAGCCTTTTCTATATAAACACAATGGAGTCCAGTAAGTCTAAAGTATTTTTTTGTTGTTGTTGAATAAAATGTAACCTAAGATCTGTTGAAATATCTGGAATTGATATTAACACCTCTTTCCATTGTCTAGGGAAACTAAGAATCTCTCATTCTTTATTCCATTCAACCATTACAGTTTGCATATCAAAATGATTCATCACTAACAGAATTTATATAAAGAGTAATTGTAGAGTTTTTTGTGTCATTGGATTTAATAATCACTTAGGTGTTTCCAAGACTGAAAATGCTGCAAGCCCTAATTGGGATGTCAATAAATGTAATTGTAAATATTGTTTCTGAGATGTACTAGGTATATAGTATTCGCCCTTTAAAGCGAAAAAAGATTTTAAAAATCATCATTTTCACTTAATTGATCCAAAGTATAAATCCAGCTTCCATGCAAGTTTTACATATATTTTATTAAAGATTACAATTACAACAGTAAAAACAAATACAAAGAAAAAGAATAAAAAGAAAAAATAGAAGGTGCAGAAAAGAAAGAAAAAATAAAAGGAAGAGAAAGAGAAAAAAGAAAAAAGAAAAAATAAGAATATAATAAAGAAAAAGAAAAGAAATATATAAAGAAGTGACTTCCCCTTTCATCACAAGTATAAACAATTTTAGTAACTTATCAAAATATATAATTTTTAATTAGGTCTGAGATCTAGATTACCCCATAGCATCAATTTAGCATAAGAAAAAATATCAAAATACTATTTCCTAAAAATAATGTACCATAATCTTCAATAGTAAGAGGAACTATATTAAACCTCTTATATTTTGACCCCACAAAAGTCTAGCTAACTAAAGACATAATGTATGAATATGTGGTTGTGGATTTTGAGGGACTCCTGAATTCAGAGACTTTCCATCTTTCTCTCTAAATGTAGTAGCACTCCACACACACAGCTGGTGAGCAGGTGGGAATCCTTCTGGACTCAGGGCCCCTGCTGAAAGAGCAGGTAGAAGCCGTAACTAGGTGGATCTTTACACTGGTTTGCCTTGTGTGCCAGTTGTTCCCGTTTCAGGAAAAGGAGGGCCGACTCAGTAACTCATGCCTTAGTCACTTCCCAGCTATATAGATGGGATTGCTCTTGAAGAGTATTGGAAGCTGCCACTGGTTCAGAATGTAGGGACACAGGCAGTTTTGGACACTTCACGATACGCCCATCTCTGCTCTTCAAGCTGTATTGGCTCCCAGTGGGTACAATTCAGGGTGTTGGTTGTCACCTATAAAGCCCTACATGGCAGAAAGCCATGGTAATTGCAGGACTGCCTGTATCCAATTATTTCTGCTCACTCCACCAGAATCAGCACGGTTGGCATGTTCTAGGTCCTTTCTGTTAGGAAATGTCATCGTGTGGGACCTAGAAGTTGTACTTTCTCTGTTGGAGTATCTGCCATATGAAACAGCATCCTCCTGGAGATCAAGATGGCCCTGACCCTTTGGCCTTTCATAAGGCATTAAAACCTGAAATGATTTCTGAGGCATGTGGGCCTGAAGGTTAAACCAGTCCTGTTAAAGGATCTGTCTGATCTTACACTGTTTGAAAATGGAATTATTTTTAGACTTTGGCCATACATTATATTATTATCACTATTATTTCAGATTAGTATTAGTAAATACCTAGAATGTTGATCAGCTGTTCCACAGCTAGAGGAGCAATGGAAGTGCTGGAACCAGCAGCAAGTCTTGGATATGCTTGGCAGCATGTCTTCTGGGGTGGTGGCAGTGGTGGTTGTAAATTTACTACTTTTTAAAAATCTTGGTGGGCTGCACAAGGCTACCTGGCTGGCTGTATGAGGCTCACAGGCCATATGGCAATGTTGTCCAAACTTGGCCACTTTAAGATGAGTGGACTTCAACACCCAGAATTCCCCAGCCA